TTTTCTACCTTGTTATTTCTGTTTTCTTTTGTTAGGCCAGCCATAGAAAAGTAATTCAGTGGGAAAAGGGCTGGGCATATGCAGAGGAGGAGATCCAGAGGAAACGGGGAGACTGGATAGGCAGAAAAAGCAGACTCCAGCTACCTTCTGGGGAACAGCTGCTGTGATCCACCACCATGGGGCCATAGCTCCTCAGATACCTCCTGGCACCCCCTTGTCCTGCTCAACACTGTCCTTCAGACTCCTTGTTGCCACATATTGACCAAACCTGCTTAGGATGTCCCCAGGGTTCAGCATCTAGGTCCTCAGGTATGGCCAAGGAGCTAAGCCAATGGGGGTCCCTCTCATTCTTGACCACTCGCCTTAACCCTTCTTCCATAGGACTGAGTGACAATGGTCTGATGAAATAACCATACCCAAGTCAGCCAAAGCCAGCTGGATCTGCTGGTTACGCCTCCCCTGGGGCTGAGTCTGGGCTCTGCCTTGTCAGAAGCAGGCCCTTGTATATTTCTCTGTCGGCTCTTTGCTCCTTCCTCCCATCCAGACAAGTCCTCACGGCAAAGAGAATCTGTCTGCTGACGGCTAGCGTGTGCTGAACACTGTCACATCAGGCATCACACTAAGGGCTCACTCACTTGATCTCATTTGATCTGTTTTATAATCTTATCAGATGGAGACTACTGGCACCAAGAAGTTAAAACAAGTAGCCTAATGCCACACAGTGGTAAACCCAGAATTACCAGAATCCAAAGCCCTGTCTCTAACTCTCACTACACTGGCAGCATCAGCCTCACCAGGGACCGTGGCAGAGATCCACACCCTAGGCCCAATGAATCAGAAGCTGCATGTTGACAAGTCCCTGGCCCAGGTGATCCACATACTGGTTGCAGTTTGAGAAGTACTGGTCAAAATCAGTTTTCCAAAGGTCCCAGGTTCCCATCACCAGCCCCAGCCCCATCTTGAGGCTCTCCCCCAGTTGCCTGGCTCTCACTCCCCAGGTGGGGCAGGCCCTCCACCCAGCTTTGGGAAAGAAGCCTGAATCTGGGACTCGGCCGTTCTCCAAGCTCCTGCAGCCAGCCCGGGCCACAGCTGGACAACATCCATCTACATCTAGCTCTTTGCAGGGCATCCTGCCTGTGCCCGAGACTCTCCTGGCTCCCTCCCTCTCATTTCACTCTGGGACCCTAGTCCTTGGCCTCTGCCTGGTGCGCCCTGAAAGGGACTGGCCACCCCCAGTCCCTGAAGCGTCTCCCTCCCTAGACATTCTGCTGCCCAACCCCCCCTTAGAATACCTCGGCATCATGTCACTGCCACTATCTGGACACTTAGGGGCTGTCCAAGGAGGGAGGCCAGTGGCTGCCTGGAAACCTGGCCAAGCTCACAGGAAATGTCTGACACCACCAGGCAAGTGGGATTTGGCCTCCCAAAGCAAAACACAGCTGGGCCGACAGCGGGGCGCTTGGACTGTCCCAGATTTCATGCACTGAGGCTCCAGGGCCTGGTCTGGCCTGGAGGCTGCAGCTCATTAAGAACTTCACAGTAGCCCCTGGCCAGGGAGCCTGTGCAAGTCGAAGAGGACAGCAGCTGTGGGCCAGAGACCTCACCCAGGACCTTGGGCCTCCACTACCCATTATGTGCAAGAAACCTTCACTGGGGACTGAAGGCTCAGGACATTCAAGCTGCTTGTCTTACAGCAACGCCCACCTTTCCCCCAACAACTAGCCTCATTCATCTGCTCGTTCAGCTTAGGTTGACTGTGCATGTACAGTGTGCCAGGGATGGGGTCAGGGACCAGGGACACACTCATGAGCAAAGGACCACCTGGTCTGAGGAGAACAAAACAGCCATCCCAGGCAGAGTGAGAAGAGCTACAGGGAAGCCTGAGCTCTGCAGCACAGCTGGTGGTGCCCTCGGATCCAGGTGCAGGCTGAGGGGTCGATGCCAGCTGGACCCTTCGGTTGAGCTGACTATCATTTGGACCAAGTGTCAGAGAGCCAATCTGGATGGAGCACTTCCTGCTAGGCAGGCACAGTGGGGGAGCTGTTGGGAAATCCCAGGTGCAAGGCAGGGTCACTGGCTTCCAGGATGCAGGTGGCACGATCTATGTGCAGGTGCAGGGCACAGGCCTGCATGGATGAGTGCCAGTGAGTGAACAGGGGACCAGATAGGTGGGGGCAGGTGACCAGGGCAGGTTCTGGGGAAGAAGCAGGACTGAGCCTTGAAGATTGGAGAGAGGTCTGATGGCTAGAAGTTGAGGAAGGGGTGTCCAATAATTCTGACTCACGGTATGAGGGGCAGAATGACTTGCCAAACAAACACTTCCCAATGTGAACACACACGGGATCAAGACACCCCACCAGCTAGAAAGCCCACCTGGAGGACTCTGTTCCCTCTCTGGCCCAACTAGCCCTCAAGCTGGCACCTGTCGGGTGCCTTCTCTTCTTCCCTGCCCTGAGCTAGAGACCTCTCCGTATTGGCTATGGCAAGCAGGCAGGGGAATCCTGTCCATGAGCTCTCCCTTGTCCAGTTTTTCCTCTCTGCACCACCTGCCTTATGCTCACAGCTGCGGCCAATCAGAATGAGGCTCACAGCCAATACCAGGCCCTCTGTGTTGACCACCTTGGCTCTGCTCCTTGTTTCTGCCCCAATAGCCCCCAGCCTCAACCTGTGTCACCCTTTCTTTTGAAACAGCGTTTATTTATATTCATTCATTCATTCATTCATTCTATGAGCGAGTGTGATAGGTACCCCCAATAGGGTCTTCATGCTGCGATCCACCCCCAGCCTCAGCCAGCCCTGATCACAGGAATGCGGCATACCACACACAGACCTTCCCCTATGGGCCCAGTTGCGTTACTGCTGAGCCGCGGTCTGGCCCAGTCCATCCTTCCTTCCTGCTCCTAGCTGATCCCAGAAGCCATCTGCTTGGATGCACAGGGCCTGGGAACCCCGCCTTACCAAGACCCTGGGCTGCCCAATCCCACTCCCTCTCAGGGTTGCTGCACGACCTCAACCACCTTTCCTTTCTCCCTGTCCAACTGAGCCAATCACTCCTGACCTTTCCTGCTGGGGCCTAACCGCAGGTCAGCTTCCTCCCCCTGGCGTTCCTGGCCTCAGAGAGGACAAGTCCTTTCCCCCTTAGTTCAGCAAGACAAGGCTGCAATGTTTCAGAAAGAACTTACCAAGTAGAAAGTAAATGAAAAACTAACCTGAAATACTCAAAGGAAATCACTGCCCCCTACAAATGAAGCAATTTACAAAGTTTAGATTTCCTGTCCTGAGCTAGCGATCGCTCCGTATTGGCTATGGCAAGCAGGCGGGGGAATCCTGCTCATGAGCTCTCCCTTGTCCAGTTTTTCCTCTCTGCCCCTTGTGCCCCACCCCTACACGCCTCTTCCCCTCTGAGGAGAGAGATGGAAGCTGGATGGCGAGTGTACTGAAAGGGCTTTTTCTGGCAGGAGTTCTTCCTACATCACAGAAACCACAGGAAGGGGAGCGGAGGGGAAGGGGGAAGGGGAGGAGGAGAGAGGGAACATTTAGAAGGTCTTACTTATGTCCCAGGCTCTGTTCTAGGCACCTTCCTGACAGTAATTCTGTGACGTAGGTAGTAACACTGTCCTACCTTACTGATGAGGAATCGGAGGCACAGAGGGGTAAGTACCTTGCCCAGTGTCACTCTGGGAAGTGGCAAAGCCAGGATTTGAACCAAGAGAACCTGATCCCAGGTATAGGCCTTCCTCAGTTTCTCTGAGGCACTCAAGGGCAAAGATTTCACCTCCCCACTCCCCCTTCACCCCAACCTGGCAGGCCTGTGCCATCGGCAACACCTGCTCTCCTGCTCACACCCCGGCCAGCAGGGAAGAGGAAGGGCAGGAAGGAAGGGCCGCCAGGGTCTTCACCAAGCAGCCCTAAGGAAGAAGCCCCTCCAGGAGGGAGACTGAGTCCCAGACCCCTGGCCAGGGCACTCACGTGGCCTGTGGCGGCTGAGGCTCCAGTGGCTGGGTCCTGGGGCCCTCCCTGGTGCTGCTCCTGCGCAGGCTGGGTGAGCCCTCGCCCCAGCGTCGGGGTGCGAGCCTGGAGTTCTGGGGGTCGAACTCTTCCTCAGGAATGACCTCCTCGCAGCGGGCACCGCGGAAACCAGAGCGGCAGACGCAGAGCTGGGGCCGGCTGCAGGAGCCTCGGTTCTGGCAGGGCGGCTGGCACACAGCTGAGGAGACAAGGAGAAAGGTGACGGCAGGGGCCAGGGCCCTGAGGCTGCAGCCTCCTTCCAGAAAGCTGCCTGAGCACGGCATCCACACCCTCCAAAGCAGAAAGCCAACTCCTGGCCTCAGAAGGCTCTCGGGACCATCCTCTATCCTCCACCCACAGACCTCCAGGCGGAGCTGGCCTTGATCTCCGGCCAGCCCACCAGAGACCGAGTGATCAGAGCTGTGTGGCGGCTCACACCAGCACTTCCTGCAGAACACACTGACGGTGTATTTTATATTGACATGTTCCCTCCTACCAGACCTCAAGCCCAAGAGGACAGACATTTCGTACTGTGCCCCAGAAGTTAGAATAGACTACCACTGAATGGCTTCTCAGGAAATAATGAATGAATGAATGGATAGATGGATGAATGAATCGGTCTCCTTTATGGGAAAGGACTCAGCATGGGCCTGAAAGTCAGGAGGTTTGAGTTGCTGATTTTTTTTCCCATTATTCATGAGCTGTGCAAACTTGACCTCCCTGAGTGTCAGTTTCCTCATGACTCACTCGAGGAGGGGCTGAGGAGACTGGGAGGACCCTAAGGGTCTCTCAAAGCCATCATTGACAGGAAAGCCTCTCCTCTTCTTCCTGAGAGAGTCCCTGCTCCTTAACAGAGGAGCCCACCCTGCTAACAAGGTAGGATTCCTAGCTCGCTGGAATGACCTGGCCTCCTGGGCCCTAGGTCCAACTTGGGGCTAGGTGGGGTTTAAACCAGGCTGTCCTCTCAGCCAGCCAGCCAGCCCAGCAGCCCCTGCTGCCCAGGCCATGCTCTCCCTGCATGTCATCACCCCGCCACGTCCAGAGCCACATCAGTGTTCAACAGCCAAGGGAGAGTCACATGCAGGCCACACAACTGGGACATGGCGCCCTGCCCCAACCACTTGGGACCCCCCCGGGCATACTATCTCAAAGGAAAACATGGACTAGGTCATATCAGATGCATTAAGTCCAAGGTCTCATTCATCTGTCACTTATTCACTCAACAAACAGTTGTCAAGCTCTTCTGAGTACTAAGCACTAGGACCAAGTCCTTGCCCTCATGGTGCTTATGATCAAGGGAGGAAGATCAAGAGCAGCAAGAGAATGAAGTAGGCCATGGTGTCAGGCAGTTTCAAGGGCCTGGAGACAATCAACTAGAGAGATTCAGTGTTCTGGGCCCAACCAGGAGCTTCAAACGGGAGATCAGAGACCTCTCAGAACTGAGCTAGGAGTGGTGCAAAGGAAGTAGACCAGCAGAACTCCAGGCAGGCTCCCAGGAGGGCTAGGTGGGTGCAGAGCTCCGGAGGCTGGAAGAAAGGTGGCAGGCTTGAGGGGGCTCAAGAGATCCAGGGAGGCTGGGTCTGGTGGCAAGGGGGTAGGGCTGGTCAGTGAGGAAGCAGAGGCCAACACATAGACCTGTCACCTCAATCATTCTACGTCCATTTGGGAAACACTATCCCAACTAGGTACCTGGGGTTTTGTGAGCTGAATTCTAAGGGCAGCACTAGAATTCAAACAGGGGCTGTCTGGATAAATCTCATCAAAATTCCACCCTCTCGGGAACCAGCAGTTAGCGTAATGGCTATGTCGCTGGACTCGCACGTAGTCGACCGCGGTTCGCGCTCCGGACCCGGTGGCAAAACTCACGCCGGGCGCGTGTGCGTGCCCAAGATCCCGAGAGGAGAATGGAGAAGGGATTGTGGCGTGACCATCCCCCCTGGGGGTGATTTCTCGCTTTCTGTCTCTATGTCTCTGTCTGTCTGGCGAGCGTACGCACCCTATAGTGAAAATCTCTCCAAAAAAAAAAAAAACCTAAGAAGTTCTCACAGGAAACCTGTGATGTTTACTGAGGGTTCAACTTCAGGAGTGTTCGACTCTCATCTCTCTACCCACTCTTAGCAGGGCTGATACGGTCTTCCTCCCTCCCGTCTCTGAGTCCTGGCCTGGAGCTGAGAATGGAACAAAAGGACTCTGTTGGCTTCAAGTCAGTCACCAGATGCATCCTTGAAGCCCTGCCCTGGGAAGCTGCACTTCCCAGGTTGACTCTGGCGGTGGGGGCTCTTCCAAAACCACACAATTTTTTTTTAAAGTATTCAATTTCACATTCCTTTTTTTTTTTAAAAAAGTTTTTTGTTTGTTTATTTGTTTATTACTTCCCTGAGTGAGAGAAACAGAAATAAAGACACAGAGACAGAGAGAGCACCCCCAACAGGGTCCCAATGCCACAGTCCACTCCCTGCTTCAGCGAGCCCTGGATCACGGCCGTGTGTCACACAGTACATGTGGTGAGGGAAGATGTAGACCAGCTGATGGGTTGATTCAGAAAGCATTCACTGAGCACTCACTAGGAGAGAGGTCTGTGACACTCCCTGACACACTATCTGACACAAAGAGCTGAACACACAGACCATGTGATGACGACTATGTCAGTCAGGACCTTTACCCCAGGCTGTAGGGAAAGTCAGGAAGGCTTCCTGGAGGAAGGCAGTGCTTCCTAGAGTCACAAAGAATAAAGTGACTGGGCCTTGTGTCCATCAGAGGCACACAAAGCTCAGCCTGTCTAATCAGCTGAGTGAGGAAATATGCAGATCCCACTGTAGGGTTCCGACCAGGAGCTGGATCCCGAGTGGGACCCGAACATTTTCCTTGGCATCTTGGTACCACTTCCTGGCAGGGCCCAGGCCTCCAGGTAGGGAGACCATGCAGAAAATTATAACCTAGAGCACTTCCCCAAATTCCAACTGCCACCATGACAGGGTTCTGGCCTATCACCTGTCCACCACTCCATCTGCCCCAGCAGACTTAGCCCCCACCTGGCCCTGGCAGGCCCGTGTCACCAGCACCAGAGACCTGGTCAGCTGGGACCAGCTGGCAAACCAGCTGGCGACATGTGGGGACGTGGCTATGCCAAGACAGGTCTCAGCCTGGTTAGTTTTAGGGAAGACGTAGAAAGGGAAGGTCTGCAGGCTCCCAGGTGGACTCACACCTCTCTCAGCAGGGACCCGAGGCCTGGCAGGGGTGAGAGGAAGGATCGCACCTTTCCCCTCTGAGTCTCCCTCTGAATGGGTGGTCCTGGCCCCTGAAGATGGCCTTCAGAAAGTCTAGCCCTCCCCCACTCCCTCAGCCTCATCCTCCCTAGCTCCTGAGCCCCTGAACCCCAAGGATGGCCCATGCTGGCCTTTTTTATCTTTTGCCAGAGGGTAAGTGTGCTCCCTGGAGGGAGCTAGACACACACACAGAGAGAGAGAGAGAGAGAGAGAAAGTGAGACAGCACTCCCATGGGAAATGGCCACAGTCCCTTCTCCCACAGCTCTCCCTCCTTTTGGGATTTTGGGCATGCATACACATGCATGTGGTGTGTTTTTCAAGACACCAGGTCCAGGACTAGAACCGTGCAGTTGGCTATATGAGATCCAGCTGCCACAGGTGGCCCCTTGGACTTTAACAATAAGGTCTTTCATTCTCTAGAAACCAAGATCCTACACCTGCAAGCTGAGCCCCTCGCTATGCCTCATACATTCCCACAACGTTTAATGAGCTCTTCTCTCTTGGTCAGGATGGATGCTGGGACTGCAAAGGTTAACAAGACTGGGTACTGTGTGTAGGCATCCCTGCCCAGTGGCGGGTTCTCACACCCATGGAAGCCTCTTTCTAAGCAGGGAATTAGGTCTTCAAGGAGGACTAGGGTCCACACACTTCGGTTGGTACAATGAACAGATCCTGAGAGAGAATGCTGGGGGGAGTGGGAGCTATGGCAATGGCATTTTCTTGATGTTTATATCATGGTACATAAAAGTCTGACAGCTCCAAACCAGCCAGATGAGTTGGTAGAAAAAACTGGCATGGGAAGATCATCCTTCTGGACTGACCATTTAGGACACAGTACAGAGGTCCGACCTGCTCAGGCAGATCCTCTAAGGAGTTTCAGGTTTTCTGAGGTTTTGAACCTGCTCTCACTGGCTTCACGTGCAACCTCTCCTGTTTTGTTTTCACAAGTCTCAGCAAGCTGCAAACTACCTGACTTTTTCAGCAAATTTGTTTTGTTCTGAGCCAAGAGTATGCTTGGTGAGGCTGGAGGGTACTCTTCTCTCCTCTCTCTCCACACTCCCAAAAATACCCCCACCATGGCCCACAACAGTGGCCCACATACCTGTCTCTGAAAGGGAGCATGCTGACAGTTTTTACTGGCCTGTCATAAAATAAGGAAAATAAACACAGTTTCCTGAATTGCTCGGAATGTTGTTTTTTCCCATCTTAAGAGTTGCTTTTATTTTGAGATTATGCCTTTTCTATTTTTCTTGGTGTTAAAATGTTCTTGTTAATAAAAGGTGATGGTGGATGGTAGGTTCCCCCACATGTACCAACATCCCCACTTGTAAAAATGAAAAGCTGGCCACTGTACCTAAGATATTTCTGAATATTTTACTGGCGCGTGCAATCCGGTGACCCTTTGGGAGGGAGAGGCAATAGTGGTCGTGTGGACACATGACTTCTTTTGTTTAAAGAAGGCTGAAGCCAAACATTCTAATGTCGAATGAGCACAGATTTCAAAACTCAAGTACCAAAAAGGAAATCAACCGTTTCCGAATTGCCAGTGACAGGGGTCATCGCGTAAAGTAAAGAAGGAAATGCCAAGGGTCTCAGGAGAGGCGGTTCCATGAGGTGTTGTGGGAATCTTAAGAGAGAAAGCCTCCAACCATGGTGGGCCAAGAAGTCTTTCTGTTTTGTCCTTGTGAATTCATTCCTCCCGTTTTTCTTCAAGAGCAGAGACCATGCCTAGCCCTTGCCAAATGCACCCAGTATGGGATACATAATTTTAAGACTCTCCATTGATTGATTATTGGCGATGCCATGACATCTGTCTTTAGTCCTCCCCCATTGGTCTTACTACACAGAATATACCCAGCCCCTTCCTCCGGAGGACACACCTTGGACAACCGCTGTCTGCGCTGTCGAGCAGCCTCCCTTGCCAGGTTTTAG